CCTGGAGTCAGTGGGGAGACTGAGAGAGCAAGCAGTGGGGTCCTAGATGAGGGGGGAATGGGAGGTGTGGAGATTTAAGGGGGTTACTGGCTACTTCCTGACCTCCAACAGGATCCCTAGCCCCACCAAGCAATCACCCCATCTCCATTCAATTCTTTGACTATTAAAGGTGCCCTTACTCTCCGGCCCCAGGCCTCCAGCCCAGCACACTCCAAATTCCATGACCTCTAGCACCTCCCACCAGGCCCTGCAGAGCCCGAGGCTCATCTCTCAGTGACCCTCTCCTGCCCCAGCAGCCCGCATGACCATCATAGGCACACTGACAAAACTGTCAGATAACGGGGAGAGGAAGGGAGAAGAATGGAACAGGAGGGGACAGGAAATGCTAGGGGCAGGGAGGAGATGCTGCACCAGGACCGAAGACAGTGCGAAAAGCTGGAGGACAGAGAATGGGCAGGGGGCACGGCGCATGCGAAGGCCCCAAGGTGGGAACAGCACAGATGGGTGGGACGGAAAAGGGAGAGTGAGCGGCAGATGTTACCAGGGGCCACCCAGGGGCGTATGGGCCAATAGGAAGGGTGGGCTTCCCTCCAGGTGAAAGGGAGCCACAGGCAGGTCTGTGCAGGGACAGCTGCCGTCATGGGAGGGGCACGGAGAGGTGATGCCTCAGGACGGGCCCCCAGTGAGGTCCCCTGCCATTCTCAGCATTTTCCCTCTGCTCTAGCCACCCTGCCCCGGACTGCGCCCCAGGGGTCATGGCCACCTGAGCTTGCGCAAGCCCACGGCTGGGCAACCTTCCTTTCGGCTGCCTCCTCTGCTTTCTCAACCTGTTTCCTTCCGACCAGGCCCCGGCCCACTTCCTCACTCTCACATCTGAGAGACTGACCCCAGGACGTTGAAGGAAACTTCTCTTTCTGTGGTTTCGGCTTTGAGCTTTCAATTCCCATGTCCCCTCAGGCGCATCTGCGGGACGCCCCCAGGCCCCCATGCTTCCCCCTCTCTGCTGAGGTCCCAGGAGCCAGAGAAGCTGGGTGGGCCCAGCAGATGGAAAGGCTGCAGTCCTGGCACAGTTGAGACTAAAGATGCCCTCCGGCACATTCAAGGCTCTGGGCAGGCCTGCAGCGGGACTGGGTGGAGGTTAAGACCGGCTCTGGCCCTGGCTGGTGTGGCTCAGTTGGTTGAGCGTTGTCCAGGCACCAAAAGGTCTTCGGTTGGATTTCCAGTCAGGGCACAATCCCAGGTCAGGGCACGTGTGGGAAGCAGCCAATTGATGTTCCTCTCACATTGATGTTTCTCTCTCCCTTCCTCTCTCTAAAATCAATAAAAACATATAAATAAAAACATTTGCTGTGTGTGTGCAATGGGAACTCTGCCAGAGCGAGTGTGTAGTGGGTTGAATTGTGTACCCCTGGAAAGAAACATTCACAGGTCACTATAAAAAAAACACAGAAAACAACGAATGGTGATGATATGAAGAAACTGGAATCCTCGTGCACTGTTCGTGGGAATGTAAAACGGTACAGCTGCTGTGAAAATAGTATGGAGGTTTCTCCAAAAATTAAAAACAGGCCCTAGCCAGTTTGGCCTGCGGACTGAAGGGTCCCAGGTTCGATTCCGGTCAGGGACACATGCCCAGGTTGCAGGCTCAATCCCCAGTAGGGGGCGTGCAGGAGACAGCCGTTGGATGATTCTCACTCATCATTGAGGTTTCTCTCCCTCTCCCTTCATCTCTGAAAATATATTTTTTAAAAATTAAAAACAGAATTACCATCTGACCTAGCATTTCTACTTCTGGGTATATCCCCAAAAGAATTGAAAGTAGGGTCTCAGAGATAGTTGTACACCAATGTTTATAGCAACATTATTCACAAGAGCAAAACCATGGAAGCAACCCAAGTGCCCATAGATATGAATGGAGAAGCAAAATGTGGTCCATCCACACAGTGATTATTCAGCCATAAAAGGAAGGAAATTGTAACACATGTGACAACATGGCTGACTCTGAGGACACGATGTTGAGTAAAAGCAGCAGACACAAAAGGACAGACACTGTATGATCCCATTTACATGAGGCCCCTACAACAGTCAAATTCACAGAGACAGTAGAGTGGGGGGCTAGTGGAGGGGGAGATGGAGCTACTGATGAATAGGACAGAGCTTCAATTTGGGAAGATGGTAAGTTCTGGAGATAGGTGGTGGGGATGGTGGTACAATAGTGTGACTGTACCATTTCTGGATGCCTAGAAATGGTTAAGATGGTGAGCTTTACATTATGTGTATTTTAGCACATGCACACGCACACAGGCACACATATACATACACGATACAGTGGGGCCTTGACTTACGAGTGTCCCGACTAATGAGTTTTTCGAGATAGCCGTCTCTTGGCCAATTTTTTGCTTTGAGTTGCAAGCTAAAATTCGGGTTACGAGCCAGCTTCAGATGCCCCACCCCTCGTTGGTGCAGGGAACGTCACAGTGAACGCCACATCAGCCCAGCATCACGTGTCTCACTCGTTCACTTTAATGACTTGACATACGAGTAATATGAGTTACGAGCTCGGTCATGGAACGAATTAAACTCGTAAGTCAAGGCCCCACTGTATGTCCATGTCCTAACCTGGGAACCTCAGAAGGTGACCTTATTTGGAATTAAAGTTTTTGCAGATATAATTAGCGAAGGATCTTGAGATGAGTTCATCTTGGACTTAGGGTGGTCCTAAGCCTTGTGAGGACAGGCAGAGCCTGGAGTGATGTTGTCACAAGCCCGGGGTTGCTGGCAGCCCCCCGAGGAGCCTGGGAAGACTTTCCCTCAGAGCCTCCAGACGGAGCCACCCCTGCCACCTCCTTGACTTCACACCCCAGGACTGAGTCAGTAAATGCCGTGGCACCTGCTGCACGGCCCCCGGAAACCGAGCGCGGATACCGTTCCCGTCCTCCACCTGCTGGGATAAGGGCTTCGAGTCGGCCTGGAAGCCCCTTGTCCCACTGCCCACCAAGGACCACCAGGCAGTGGAAACTTGGAGCAAGTGCTCCTTTTATTATAGTTTTTAAATGTTTTTATTGATTTCAGAGAGAGGAAGGGGGAAAGAGAGAGAGATAGAAACATTAATGAGAGAGAAACATCGATCAGCTGCCTCCTGCACACCCCCTACTGGGAATCAAGCCCGCAACCCAGGCATATGCCCCAACCAGGAATCGAACCGGCGACCTCCTGGTGCATATGTTGATGCTCAACCAGCTCAACCACTGAGCTACACTGGCTGGGCCAAAGCTCCTTTTAATATCTGGGCAGAGCCAGTGGCCAGGCCCTGTCAGCACCATGTGGCTTTTCTAACGTGAAGCCTAGAACACAGCGGTGGAGGGGCCCAGCCCCAGGAAGATCCCAGTCCCCTCAAGCCGCAATGGTCCAACGGTGGTGTCCCCGGGGACCAGCTACAAAGTGGAATGCTTCTCGAAGGGCACGGTCAGGAGTCGGGCTGCTGCCTCATCCAGGAACCAGCAGAGTTTCCCAGTGTGGGGCTGCACAAGGGCGGCAGGGAGCGGGCTGGCCTCCTTGTCCTCCAAAATGCGCTGTGTGAAGAGGATATGCTGGTGAGGCCCGGCTGCACGCCCGGCGCCCCTCAGAGCTCGCAGGCCCCCGTGGACTAGACTCTCCTGCTCTCAAGACATGATGTCAGCCTTCCAGCTGCCCAGCTTAAAACAGTCAGCAGGGACAGCCCCTTCCCTTCTAGCTCCCGTGATTGTATAGCATGGTGTTGGCACACCTTTCCTGCAAAGACCAGAGAGTCGCTATTTCGGCTCACGCTGGCATATGGGCATCTGTGTTCCAACAAATCATTGTTGGTGAACACTGACATCTGAATTCTGTTGAATTTTCACATGTCTGGGAATATTCTTCTTTTGATCCACCCGCCCCCCTCCCCCCCAACTTAAAAAGGTACAAGGTAAAAACCCTTCCTGGCTGTCCCCTCCGCCCCCCGCCCAAACTTAAAAAGGTACAAGGTAAAAACCCTTCCTGGCTGGCAGGATTGGCACACGGGCTGTGGTGTGTCAACCCGCTAATGTGACCTCATGGTGAATGGACATTATAAACACTGCTTTTTGCCAGCTGGGCCTGCCCCCAAGAACTCTGTGCTTATAAATCACTGGCTTCTGATCACGACCCTGTGAAGTCACCTCCGTTCCCACCCCATTGTACAGTCTGGGAAGCTAAGGCTCCAAGAGGCCTCTCTCAGGGGGTCTATGGCGAGGGGCCCCTCATGACCCACCTTACAGATGGGAAAGTTGAGGCTGTGGGGGGAGGACCACCTGAAGCCATGGGCACCACTGGCAGGGACATGGGGCTGCTGCACTCTTCAGAATCTGCCCCCCAAACCGCAACATTAGCCACCCCTGTGAGGACATCTGGGCCCAATGGTTTGGGGGAGAGAATTATTAATTTATGTTTCAAAATATTCCCAGTTTCTCCTATAGTTTTGGCATTTTCTTTTTAAAATAATTCTTGCCCTAGCTAGTTTGGCTCAGTGGATAGAGCGTCGGCCTGCGGACTGAAGGGTCCCAGGTTCAATTCCGGTCAAGGGCACATGCCCAGGTTTACATATGTCCCCCTTTTCCCCCCAATAGTTGTTGGTTTTTTCAATGATGGCAATTAAAATATTCTTTATTTTATTTTTTTAAAATATATTTTTATTGATTTCAGAGAAGAAAGGAGGGGAAAAGAGAGAGAAAAATATCAATGATAAGAAAGAATCATTGATGGGCTGCCTCCTGCACGCCCCCCACTGGGGATCAAGCAACCTGGGCAAGTGCTCTGACCAGAAATCAAACCGTGACCTCCGGATTCATAGGTTGACACTCCACCACTGAGCCACACGAAACCAGCTTAGTTTGTTTTTAATATCTTAGTTTATATTTTCCTAAAATATTATATATAACTAAACCTTCTTTCTTATTCCTACTTTTTTTCTTATTCCTATATATGATTTTTTTTCCTTCTTGGTTAGCTTTGCCAGTGGTTTGTCTATCTTTTGGACCTCTATATCATTAAATTTTCAAAAATAATGCCCGGCCAGTGTGGCTTAATGGTTGAGCATCAACCTATGAACCAGGAAGTCACGGTTCTATTCCTGGTCTGGGCACATGCCCGGGTTGTAAGCTTGATCCCCAGTGGGGGGGCGTTCAATAAGTAGCTGATCAATGATTCTCTCAATAGGTAGCTGATCAATGATTCTCTCTCATCATTGATTTTTCTCTCTCTCTTTTCCCGTCCTCTCTGCAATCAATAAAAATATATTTTAAAAAAATTAACCAATTCATTAATTTCTGATTTTGATTTCATATATCCCTTTTGCTGACTTTACTTAGATTGACATTATTGTTCATTTTTCTAATTCAAGAGTATGTGCTTGATTTATTTATTCAATAGTTTTCTATTTAACTACAGGCCCGAAGCAAGAAAATTTGTGCAAGAGTAGGCCTTCCTTCCCGTGGCTGCCGGCACCGGCTTCCCTCTGGCACCCAGGACCCGGGCTTCCCTCCTCCGACCACTTGCAGGCACCCAGGACCTGGGCTGCTTCCCTCCTCTGGCCGCCCGCAGGCACCCAGCACCCAGGCCGCTTCCCTCCGGCCCCGGCTTAATCAGGAAGGACGTCCGGAATGACGTCTGGTCTAATTAGCATATTATCCTTTTATTATTATAGTTATTTTAAAAATGTATTTTAATATTATGAATTTACCTCTCAGTGTAGCTGTTGTCTCATCTCATCAATCTCATTTTGTACTTACTCCTTCCTAACCAGCCTGCAATGGCAGTTTCCATCTCCCGTTTGACCCAAGAATTACTGAAGGATCCTGGGATCTGGTGCTTCCAGCACAAGAGCACCCGGGCTCCTATTCTGTCCCCAGGCTCACATGCCACCCAGGCCGCTTCCCTCCGGCCCCGGCTTAATCAGGAAGGACGTCCGGAATGACGTCTGGTCTAATTAGCATATTATCCTTTTATTATTATAGTTATTTTAAAAATGTATTTTAATATTATGAATTTACCTCTCAGTGTAGCTGTTGTCTCATCTCATCAATCTCATTTTGTACTTACTCCTTCCTAAGCAGCCTGCAATGGCAGTTTCCATCTCCCCTTCAACCCAAGAATTACTGAAGGATCTTGGGATCTGGTACTTCCAGCACAATAGCACCCGGGCTCCTATTCTGTCCCCAGGCTCACATGCCCCAGCCTTCCCGGGAATGGGCCCCAGTTTACCTTCAGAACAGCTGCCTTGCCTTCTCCAGTCGCCACAAAGATGACAGTTCGGGCCGCATTCAAGACAGGGAGTGTGAGGGTTACGCGCTGTGGAGGCGGCTTTGGGGAGTCACTGATGGGAGCCACAATCTTCTCCCGTTCCTGGGGGGGAGTCGAAGAGGACAATGTCACTTCGACTTCTCAAGCACTCACCCACATCAAGCATAATCCATCCATCATTCCATCCCACCCTCCCAATCCTGTGGTACTGGATTTAAGGGCCCCATTATAAGAAGGGTAAACCGAGGCTCGGAGGATTAAGCCCAGCGGGCATGCCTATTGGCAGAAGCTGATTCAAACCCTGCTGTAGGCAACTCCTGGCCTCCCTGCGGAAGCCCCAGACAGCAGAGGCCAGAGCGCAGGTGTGGGGGGCCTGTGTGGGTGCACTCACCTGCAGCAGGGGATGGTCTGGGAAGAGTGAGCAGGTATGGCCATCGGGGCCCACCCCCAGGATCAGCAGGTCAAAAACTGGGATGGAGTCCCCTTGAAAGGCCTGGCCAGGGGGAGAAGACAGTCCACAGAGGTTGAGGAAGGGGAAGAATACAGAGACAACTGTCAGAAAAAGAATCACAAGTGGAGCCTGGCCAGTGTGGCTCAGCAGCTGAGCATCAACCCAGGAACCAGGGGGACGCCGGTTGGATTCCTCGTCAGAGCACATGCCCGGGCTGCAGGCTCCACCCTCAGTAGAGGCCGTGCAGGAGGCAGCTTATCAATGGTGCTCTTCTCTCATCAATGTTTCTATCTCTCTATCCCTCTCCCTTCCTCTCTCTCTAAAAATCAGTAACACCATATTTTTTAAAAATTTAAAAAAGAATCACAAGTAGCTATAGCACAGGGAGTGATGCTCAGCCTCACCTGCATAAAAGGGACTCTAATCTACGAGGTTCTACGTTCACCTGCCCAACTGGCTAAGAATCTGGGGACACAACTGTTTCCAAGATGTGAGGACGCAGGCCAGCTCCTAGGTGTCAGAGGTGAGGGCACCCCCGGGGACCCCAAGGCAGGGGTGTGGCCTATTAATGTGTCTACCCAGGGCGGGGCTGGGTCTGCTGACTGACCCCAGGGGAGTGTCTGCCAATGACAATCACAGACTGCTACCTGCAAAACGGCTGTTGCCCTGGGATTAGCCATGGAGTGGACAAGGTCTCCCTGTGGCGACTCGGAGGGACTCACCTGTCGCAGCTTCTTGGCGTAGTCCTCTGCTGCCTCCTCCACAGGAAGCTGGGGGTTAATGGTGATCACCTGGCTGTCGGGAATGGGCAGCTTGGAGAGCAGGTGGGTCTGTGGCACACGGAGGGACAGTGTCACCAACAGTAATGAATGGGTCTCAGCATTGTGGGTTTGCATTGTGTCCATATGGGTCATCCAGGCCTGTGTGAGTCAGGCTCATAGTGGATCCCAGTGTCAATGCACCAGGGGTCTTTCCAGTCCATGATGACTGGGGGTTGGCCCTAGCCAGTTTGGCTCAGTGGATAGAGCGTTAGCCTGCGGACTGAAGGGTCCAAGTTTCGATTCTGGTCAAGGGCACATGCCCCGGTTGTGGGCTTGATCCCCAGTGGGAGGCGTGCAGGAGGCAATCAATGATTCTCTGTCATCATTGATGTTTCCATCTCTCTCTCCCTCTCCCTTTCTCTCTGAAATCAATAAAAATATTTTTTAATGACAAAAAATAAAAAGGGACAGGGTTTCGCCCTGGCCAGTGTTCCCAATGGTTAGAGCGCCGGCCTGTGCACCTCAGGGTTGCCGGTTTGATTCCCCGTCAAGGGCACTACCTGGGCTTCAGGTTGCAGGTTTGGTCACCAGTCGGGCGCATGCAGGAGGCAACCAATTAATGTGTCTCTCTCATCAATGTTTCTCTCTCTCCTCACCCCCGCCCTCCCTTCCACTCTCTCTAGAAATCAATGGGAAAAATATCCTCGGATGAGGATGAACTAAAAACAAAAAAACAAAACATCATCAGCTCAAGCTTCTATACAAAAAGAATGCAACACCCAGGACCCCAGTGACCCGAGGCTCCTTTCCGGTCACGGCACCGCCCCACGCCTCCCTGGACAGGTTTCCGCCTCCTGAGCAGGAGGAGTGGGCACCGAGGAAGCCGAGGAACCCAGCAAACCAGGGCTCCTCCAGCCTTGTTTCCTGCTTGTAAAACGCTGGGGGCCGGGGCTCAAAGACACCACCTCGGGGGTCAGGAAGGCAGCTGGCGGCGTGGAGACCGGGGAGCGCTCGTCCAGGCTGCAGGTGAAGAGACTGAAGCCCAGGCTCCGGCCAGACCCCCGCCTGGCTCTTC